CCTCCACACACAGCTTGGGCTCTGGAACCTTACTCCTCGAGAGAGGCTGGACTCTACTGTATTCTGTTATTATTATTTACATGTACATTTTACAACCAACCTTTTTTAATATATTTATGGGGTGGTATGGGGCAGAGTGTGAGGCATGTTCTCTCTCCTGTTCTCAGTCTGAACATTTCAGTTTAAGCTCTACACTCTGCCAGAGACATACTGATCAGGGAAAAACACAACTCAGTTAGCAGCAGCAGCACTGGAAGCCATCTCCTTCTTTTACTCCTTTTCCCTCGTCTCGTCTCCCCCCCAGTGGCGATTCTTTAATTTATTTAAAAAAAAAAAAAAAAAAAGATCAATGATTTGCTAAGATGACATCTTTTGGAGGAAGGTGAAGGAATTACATACACTCTAGTTGGTTTATAAAACCTAAAGGAGCTCTCTGGAGCAATGTTTTATCCCTGCTTTGTCTGTCTCTGGTGATCTTCTAGAACATGCTTGAAGGGTGCAGTGACACAGATACGTTTCAACCATAAAACACCAAAAAGCAGCAAAGCAAGATGCGAGAACTGAGAAGGCGATAAGGTAATCAAAGCAGAGAGCTTGACAATAATAATGTAATGATCCCATTTATTTCAGAAGCTGGCAATCTCTATAAAATGATCAAGAGGCCAAATGGCACCTGGATTTACAACATATGGATGTGAGCAACACGGGTTTTTAAAACATTCACAGAACTCAGCTTTGAAAACATTTAATTAAAAAGGAGTTCTTCTAAGAGATGATATATTTGGTAAGTTAATAGACCAAAACACCTTTTATCAAACGTCCAACCACTGCAACTGAAAAGCTGTCAATACCCGTCAATGACCTGACAACTAAATAAGATACTATTCATGAGAAACAGCCACCCACACTCATTTTCACAGGTGAGGTCTGTTTCTGCTCTGAGCTCATGCTTTCAGCCACCTGACAGAAGGCTGGCATGAGGTGTTTGTGTATGTGTGTGCGCAATCAGACTATGTGGGCTATTTGAGGCCATTAATCTTCCTCCTGATCTCTGGCCTTCACCTTGCCAATTCTAAGCTCATGTTTCTCTACCGGCCTACAGGTGACAAGACATTCAATCTGGAATGGAGTGCAAGCAGAGAATCCAGTTGAAGGGACAACAAAGATGGATATATACAGTTGACATTCCTTTATGTTTAGGACTTGATGCCCAACAGTTGAGTGAACTGCTACCAGGTGAAATATTGACAGGCGGATACTGTTATCCAGAAAGGCTCATCGTGATCTATGAGGAGCTAAAAATTCCTTTTCATGCTGACTTAGTAAGATCTGGTGATACCAAGGCTCATATTTAGAGGTCACAAAACCATGACCTGGCTTGTAAACAAATCTGTCCTTCCTAACATGACCTGGCTCTGCCACACACTGCCAAGTGAAATAGACTGACGATGGCCCCGTTGACCCAGACAGACAGATTCCGTCAGTTCATCACTGTTTATTGTCCCCTGTCTGCGTCCGTTGCACTGTTTCTCACACCGAAACACACTTTGTTCCTCAATGCCATTAAAGTCATACCATAACCTCTGCTCCTCTATATTTTTCTTAACATTGGCGTTGCTCTCATTCCTGCAAAGTGTAAAGCTTGCCGGTAAAATCAATCACAAATTTTCCAGCCCATGTAAGACACTTTAATGCCTCATCGATCTAGTAACCAAAAAAAAAAAAAAAAAAAAAAATTAAAAACAGCTTGACAGCCCAATCAAAAAATGGCAGAGCGCTGAGATAACAGTGAAATGATATTAAATGAGGCCACATTTTTGATTCAGACACGCACAATGGGTTGAATTACAACAGGTGAGGAAAAGACCTGTGGTGTTGCTGTGTGTATATGTCAGGCTCGTCTTATTGACAACTCCACTTCGAGCAGGGGTTTTGCTGTTTTGTAAGATATTTGCTGGATAATTACACTACAGGGAAAGAAGCTCTCCACTACTCCACATGGCTCAGGGGTTCACTGCCACCTAATGGCACGGGGGTGGTCTGGGCTCTACCAAGTCACATAAAGGGTGGGTGTGGATTACATCATCCAGACAGTCACCCACCTGCAGCAGTCACCAGACAGAGAATAGGGTGACAGCGGCCCAGTTTTCTCTGACAAAGGGGATGGGCAGCAGTCCAAGTCAATGTCCTCATCCATATGGCACAAGGGGGCTAGAAGAGCACCTCGCCCAGTCACGGTGACCGTTTCTGGGGTTGCAAGCTCGACTGTTCCCTTTGGCTCTGAACTGTACCAGTCCTCCTCAAACACATCGTCATCACCCAGCAAATCCTCAGGGGGAAGCCCTCCCTCACTGCCTTCCAGCAGGGTGCTAGAGGTGATGTGGAGGTGAGAGGCATAGCTGCCCAGCTGAGGGCACTGCAGGCTAGCTGAGGCAGAGGATTGAGAAAAGGGGAGGATGACGCGAAGGAAGTTGGTACTTTGGGAGTGATGAGGGTGGAGGTGAGCGTTGGAAAGAGAAGGAGGGCTGATGATGGCAGGGTCAGATAGGAGACAACTGGCAGCAGGGATACCCAACATATATTTGTAGTTGTTGGTGAAAGAGGAGACAAGATGGGGGTGTGTGTGAGTTGAGAAGGTTAGATTTCGGTTCTGGTGTGCGGATGCTGCAGCCAGCTTGCCATTTAGTGTGTGTACCCTCTGAATGGAGGCAGGAGGCTGAGCAAGACTGGTTTTTGACTCCAGCTCACCCTCAGAGCAAGGTCGATCAATGAAGTGCAGGCCATGGCAGAGATCATTCACACGCTGGCCCATATCATTCAGAGAGACAGAAAACCTGAGTGAGCTGTTAGGCTGGATATTGACAGAGGAGGGCCGGAGCAGAGAGAGCCAGTCTTGTTGTTTGCCATGTTTGGAAGTGGGCAGGACATCTGTGCAGAGGGTGGTCACTGAAATACCTCCTGAGCCTTGACACGCTTTACTGTTAGAATTCACCAGAACCACCGCAGTGTGCTTCTGAGAGTCCTGATCCTGACTGCTGGAGGGAAAGTGTTTGTGCATGTGTGTTTATGACAGAGGAACATATGATAGACGACAGTGGTAAAGAACAGCAGGAGAAGGAATGGGAAAGGGCATAAAAGACAAAAGAAAACATCATGCATTTAAAATCCAAGGAATTTGAAAAACAGGAGACAAACAGTTTCAGGGGCTTTGCCTCTGCATGAAAATAAACACTCACTGATCTGTATTGCTATAAAATCCATTTAACAGCAGGTAGGGGCTTAAATTCTATCAGTGGCAGGAAGATGAAAATGAGGTTGAAGTGGTTAGTACCTGCAGATGTCCTGGCTGGAGGGGGACACCGACGTCCTCGAGAAACTGCATGGAGCGTTGACTGAAGTTGGGCTCCCTGCCTGTAGAACAACACACACACATACACAAGTTTACAACCATGAGACATCTAAGTGAAATCCTAAAGTGGAATAGTACTGTACTATATTATTCAATGAACAGGACCAAATCATATTTTCCTGTGAAAGGTCATGTGCGATGAGAATGATCAGATTGTCAGCACCTGAATCTGATCTTTACAGAAAGAGTGAGTCACGCACTGATGCACAGGATGATAAAAAGGAAAAACACAATAATGGCAGTTAATTTATGTGACTAAAGTAGCACCAGGCAAACTCTGTCTCTGTGCATCATGGAGCAAAGCACAGAGGAGCCAGACTGGGAGACTTATGAAGAATGCAGCATTGAGAAAGGTACAGCTGGAAGATGTGAGGCTGTAGACTTGTTCAGCCTCCACAGAGAATTTTTAAATCCAAGCACCTGCGGCTACAAGAATGTTATAATAATAAAACTATATTCAGCATCATCCATTAAAGCTTTCACCATTTTTAGACAAATACTTTAATGAGGATTACTTAAAATGGTCTTGGACTCTACAGGAATCTGGTTTATAATGTTTTAGTCATCATTTTTATTTGCTAAGGTAATATCCTACTGCTGAGATCTAGGAACACAACAACACTACTATAAAAGCCTGACAGGACAATAAAAACAAGTGTAAACAAGCCAAGAGTTTAGCTGGATTACTCACTTTATTCAGAAGAAAATAACCAAAAGTGAGCATGTTAAATGTCCGTACTAGGCTGCCTTCATGTAATGTTGGCAGAGTGTGATGAATATAAAACATGAAGGTTGAAAACAGGAGGAATCCACCTACAAACACCTCTAACGGTCTTTAACACATTGCATCTCTCTTGCTTAAGCTGCACAAACTGTGGCTTTGATGCATGCTAAGTGCAGGTCTGCTGTGAAGGGATAGTGTTTGGGTTGCTAACGTAAAGACACTGGAGTCTGGTAAACCTAAGAAGAAACTAATTGCCTATTGATTTCATTTCTAACTAAGAGGAAATATATACCTCATGGCATGACACCAATCAATAGAAAATTCAATGTCCAACTATGCCCTTCAGCCTGTTTTTCTGTCTGTACACAAACACCACAGTTGGTTTTGTCTTTCTGCACATGTGCTCTCCCTCTTGTTGTTCCTCAATAGTTCATCCAAGATGATCTCATTTCTCTTTAATGTCTAATTTTATTTCTTACTATAATACTTTCGAAGACTGCTGTCTGGGGCTCTGCTGTCAGTGTAAAATGTTCAGACTCCCTTGAGAAGTGGGTAAGAGGCAAAAAGATCAGATCAAACCAATAAAACATTAGAATTCCCAAATAGGTGCCACTTCAGTGCTACACTACAACAGTTACTAAAAACAAGAAATGATGTTGTATGCTTAGCTAAAGTGTCATATTACTGAAATCTAAATGTAGACCCGATAAAAAAATAAAAAAATAAAAAAGAAAAGAGGTGGATCATGATTACACTAATGGAAATTCCCGTTATTTCTTATTTTACTGCAGCTGCAGAAATATCATATTGCAGTGTTCCTGCTTTTGTTAATCATTCATGTTGTGAGTTGGCCAATGTACAACTCTGGGTCTGAGCAAAGTTAACAACAGGGTGCCGAGTGCATAGACGAGGCAGTAATGATCAACCTCCTAACAGCCTGCATTACTCTGTAAACCTCTAATAAACACTTGCTCTCATACAATACCTGTCCTCTCATTCCTCTTGTGATGAGGACCTTTGATAACTACATGAGAGCCTGTTTATTATGATCAAAGCTGCAGACGATATTTCAACATCGGTGTCAAAACTTATATTTACCCATTCAGTTATGGCTCTCTGGCTCTGGTGCACTAATTAGATATAATCCAGCTTCATGTCATATTCTCATTGTTATGAACAGCTGTTTGTGTGTGTGCAGAAACCATGTCCCAACTCATTGTTCCACTGTAACTACTCTCCCACCCTCACATAAAAATCATCCTTGCATAAATTATCCTCTTTTCCATTTCCATCCTCATTTCCAACACCTCTCATCTCAGATCTGCTATTATCCCGGCATCCGTTCTTCTTTTATAGTCTCTACCTAGAGAAAAGCACAGCTCTCATTTTCTAGCTACTGGGGCATTTCAAAGAATAATTGTTAAAATTTTACACGAATACCGACTCACTTCGTCTGAGTGAGAAGCTTCTGACAAGCTGAACAGACAGTGTGAAGGGGACAGATGCTAGTAGAAAATGAAGTATTAAAGCCGTTTCTTAACCATTAAAACAGAAATTTTAAATCATCATCGTCACTTACAAGTCACACTGATCTAATTTTTACTTACTTTTTACATACAGTATATTGTAATTTTGAAATTACAGTTAATAAAGCAACTCAAACTTAAGGTCCATGTACCAGCTCCCCCCTCAAGTGTTCAACCATATCACATGGTCTTAATCAGTGGGCAGAGTTTGCTCAGTGATGTTATGAGAAAAAGTTAAATACCACCTTCTCTTTTACTGAGAAACTACAAGCACAGAGCCTTAACTGGGGTGACTAGGTAGCAGCTGTTTGTGAGGAAGACTGAAGCTTGACTTGACTGGTCAATCATTTCTCTGGGACTCGAGACCATTACATTACATAACATGCCCATCCTGCTTCTCATGCAAGTTTGCAAGCCAGTCAGGCTTTAATGTGGAAAAGAAAATACACTTCTTTTATAGTTTTAATATGACTATATGTATGGGGTCAAAGGGTCAAAGTGTTTATTTGGCATATGCACTACAAGTGAGGTGCATGGTAGAGTTCACCCACCTTTTGCAGCAGTGACTAAATATGATCAGGCTGCTTCAAAGATAAAGGGCATTTTCATCACTGTCTATTATTTTTTAAATCCCTCCACCATGAGTGTCACTGAACAACTCTGTAGAGAAATAATCAATAAAGGCGCTTTCCACCAAAAGCATTTTGTAAAGAAGCCATTCATGTCTGGTTTCTCCAAGGACTAGAGCCAGCTTTAGCAAAAACCATAAAAATGAGCAATGCTGCCAGACTGAGCAATTCAACAAACAAACAAAACTATTTTTTCCACAAAAAAAATGAACATTTAACACGACCTTCTTCAAAAGACTGGCTTGGCTCAGCGCCTGGTTTCACAGACCCAGGCTGTGCACTGTAGCACTGGAGTCTCAAATGCTGCAAAACTGTAGCAACTTGAATACAGAGCATCACCAGATGTTCGGCTGATTATCAGCAGCAGCCCACAGAGCAGTCGGTTGCTGCTTTGTATCTTTATGAGGACTGTAATACTTTATTTCCTTCCCAAACAGTGTAGGAGGCATTGCACGGCTCCCTGTCACTGTGCTAAAGAGAGAAATGGCTACAGCTAAGCCTCCTGAGCTCACAGTGAAAACTCGACTCACGCCAAATCAACGGGCAATCCTCAGACCACACTGGGTCTAGATAAAGCTTTCAGAGCTGCTCCAGTATATTCAACACTGACCATTCTTTCATTTAGCAAAAAAAAAAAAAAAAAATCCTGACTACTGACCCTCAAAGCCTCTTTCATAATTCTCTACACAATTTCTTTCTAAACGTAAATGAATCAGTGAACAAAAAACACGAGCAGATGAGATCATACGTTTTTGGCTTTGGATACACATTTAAATCTAAAACCATACACTGTAATCCCCTGCAGTGACAAATTCAATAATGGAGGCAGCATCATCCATATGATGCAATTTACCCCCTGCAGCTTGGTTTAATGTCATTGTATTTCTCTCCTGATGTGCGTGTGTGTGCGCCTCATGACAGGTATTCCATTGGGGGTGTTACAAGTAACCGGATACCTAGACAGTAGATGACTTTTGGAGTCATCGTCAGGGAATGCTGTTCAATTAAAGGAAACACCAACAGCGAGGATCCTGGCAGGTCATCAGCATAAAACTTGAGCAAGTGCTTTGAGAGAATGAACAAACTCTTTGGGTGTTTTATCTTTCCCATACAAATTCTCCAGACTGTATTGTTGAGCCAAGCTGGAAGTGTTAGGAAGCATTTCTCTCAGGCTCTGGTTATGTGGAGCGATATCTTTTAAGTAGGTCAACAAATGGATACAAGCACATTCATTTTTGATTTGATCTGACACCAGGCGATGCGATTCAGCTTGAATCTATGCCATGTGAAGCAGTAAAGGGTTTGTTAAGGTGTCCTTATTTTGAATCCGGCTGGATCTCACACAGAAATCAAAGAAAACAGCTGAGCAGCAATTAAGATCATCCATCAAAACTCATCAGCAGCTTGTACGCACAAGGTACATGTGTAAATTAAACCATTAGGTGCCTTTATCTTCTTTTTCTGGAGTTTTGCAACATAAATAAATTAACTTGACCTACATTTTATATTCTTTCATCAAAAAGGAATATTTGAGTCACTGCTGGAAAGAGGAAAATCATTCATTTCATCCCATGAGGGAAACTTATAAATACACTGCATACAAATCATGTTCTGATTCAAGCAGAGGTTTCAGGAAGGTGGCTTGTTATCAAAAATATATTAAACCTCATAATAGTCCACTGTTAAATCTTCTGATTTCAGTTAAGTCTGTCGGGAGTATGGAGAGGATTACTTGTACTATTTTCTTGTTTAATTAGTTCAGATTGTACTAACAATTCAAACCTCTTTTTAACTGCTGAGACCCACAGTGGGCTTGTCCATCTTGAGAACAATTAAAACAGATTTAAAACCTACCAGTCAATTATATTTTCATTGAGAAAGGAGCAGGAAACGGCAGACGGCAGACAGCAGACAGGCTGCTGGTTATTAATTAAATCTGTCAAACTTAAAAGCTTTGTTCAGACTTTGTCACTGTATAAGACACAGACATTTGTCAGAGGAATGGCGGCCTATGTATGACATTCAGTGACAACGCATGATATCCAGAAACGGCTAACTAGTTAAATCCACCCATACATTTAGGAATGAAAGGAAAACATCACCAAAAACTGAAACACTCTGAGCTTCATAAACACAGATGTTAAGGCGGAAGTGTTGCATTGAAGTGCATACAATTATACAGGTGTACTTAATAAAGTGACCAGTGACATATTTATATATTAGGCCTTATTGCTCAAGCTCTGAAATTATCATGGATATTTTAATTGATCAGTTTCAGCTACTTTAGGCCCATTAAAATCAAACAGCTGCATAAGAGTACTAAAGTCTATGTTTGTAGAATTAGATTTTAAAAGAGAAGTGTAATATTGCCTTAAAACAGTATTTATGTTTAACCATAAGTAAATGAAAATAATTGTTGGTAAATTTATCACTTGGCATGCAACAACTCCCATCTTGCTCATGTTTAAAGAGCAACTGACTCGTGGATCAAACGTTGCTGGAGCAGCCCCATGGCGATGTAGTGACCTTGACATCTATTAGCACAATAAAAGGGTTTATCCTGTAAGAGGCTCAGGAAACCCAAGAATACAACCCTGAAGCTAGGTTCGATGCGTGCCTTAGCTTTACCAGAGGGAGCGATGGAGAGGAGAAAATGGTAAAAGATAGGCGTCGCAGAGAATGGAGATTTGTACAGTCCGTCTGACAGAGAACCACCCTGAGCTGAGCTGCAAAGACAAGTCTGTTCTCTGGAGGCTGATCAGAGAGACAGCTCAGATTAGACCAAACTGATGCAAGAGAGGCAGGTTATTTATCAGCTGCTCTCACCATCTAGCTGTTCTGTCAACCTCTGCTTTCCTCCAAAACTCAGACACCATTCGGTCTTTATTCTCCCTCCTCTCTCTCTGTGGTGAAGAAAGGCCATTCATCCATTCCAAATTTTTCATTTGTGTGTGCATTGCTCACCTTTGATATATTGCTGGACCTGCTTGCAGAATGACCCAGAGGCTTTTCATTCTGTAAAGGAGAGAAAGGAAAACACCTGCAGTGAGTGAAAATACACTTTCAGACACATAACGGAAATCCAGTCTGCACATACTTTATGCAAACTGAGCTTACAGAATTACTCTGAAATGTATTTGCAATTAATGGTGCTGCACAATGACTAGCTGTTTGACAAGCATATAATTTACATTTAGCCAGAAACAGAAGAAACAACAACCGTGGACAGGCACAGTGGTGCTTTGACCTAAATAATAAAGGTAGCATGCTAAAGTGCCAGCACTGCTAAATATGACAACGCAAGTATATATGCATAAGTAATAATGCACATTTTTATTGTGCAGATGTACTAATAAGAATGAAGAAATCTTATTATAGGCTAGTAGCAGGAACATGTAGGAATCTTGGTTCGTCTCTGTCTAATGAGCACTCAACATGAGATTTCTCTGGAGCTCAGAGGCCTGTGAGCCTGAGCTGTTTAGCATCTTTGGTTGGTAAATAAAGTTCTTCTGCCTCCAGACGAAATGCAATCAGTTTGACACTGATTACATAACACATCAGTTCAAACTCCGTATCAAATGGTGTCACAATATTTTTATCATCACTCAGGGAGTGAAACAGGCCAAAACTCCCAGAGCTCAGCACAGTCGAGTTTTGTTCTGTGGTTGCAGGGCTCCTTGAGTCGCCCTCAGTGTTCTTGCCTTGCATCAGAGACTCAGATACACAGCCACTGGGGTGCTGTGCTGCATTCAGTATTGGTATTAACAGCTAGCGTGGTTCCTTAATAAGTAATCAATCACAGTTACATAACACTGAGTTCACACACAAATAAGTCAGCAGTCTGGTGAGAGTGTTTTAACTGTAGAGAAAGTGAAATAAAGGGGGATTAAACAGTTAGGGGGCACAAATGTGCTGTTTGGGTCTCTATTGACCCCCAGCTCCTCCTACAGCACACAGTACACTACACATCACAGCTTAACTGAAAACCCAGTAATCAACCAGTACTCCTGTGGTGGAATTCTACTTACTGAGCCAATATTACACATTTATTTAAAGAATATGCACCAGATGATCACAGAGAATCTAATCAAGTTGATATGGAACACTACACAATTAGTTTTAAACTTTTATTGTTTGCCAGTGCAGTAGGATTAGTGAAGAGTTTCTAAACAAAGTCTAGAGTCACGGTAGCTGCGCTGGGGCTGTACTCGGGCACAGCAATGCTTTGAGCTAAAATGCTAATATCAGCATGCTAAAATGTTCACAGTTGTTGAACAAAGTTGAAATTTATCAGATGCTGCATGTGATTATCCATATCCATTATCCTATTATCTTTAGTGTGGTAGCATGATAACAAATACTACTGTGATTAGCACTAAACAAAATGCCTGGATGTGGGTGATGGAGATATCATTCTGGAGGCATTTGATATGAAACTAAAGCAGTGGACAAATCAGATATTTGACCTGATGATGGCGTTATGAAAAACCATGGGATCACCAACGTGATTACAGTTCTTCCTGTTGAAACACCAATGTTTGTACTACAAACACCCTTACAGTGGTGGAGAATCATGTATGGCTGAAAATGGTTAAAACCAGATGATTTCTGTAGAAAACAATTTGAGCTATTCTTCTGGACCGGCCACTTATTTCACTTGCTTACAAAGCAATAACGCTTTTAGGACTCGATAACAGACAGAAATGAACAACAAGACATTTTTGCACTGGAGTCTGTCTGAAGTTGCCATTTGCTTTTTCTGGATAGAAATTCAGCCGTGCACAGGACACCAATAAGAGACACTCACTCACACATACACTCACTTTATTAGGTACATATGTACTGCGTATATACATCACGTGTACTGACAAGCGGGACTTGTTTGTGTGTTAATTTTGACTCTGAGAACTTTCATCAGGCTGCGATGAAGAGGCAGCAGTTTAAAGTGTTACTTCTGCCAGCTTTGTCCAGACAGAAAGTAATTACACCTACTGCAAATAACCACGAGTCCACACACATACATCATCCTACCATTAAGAGACTACACGACACGCTCCTAGTTCTTAATTACTTCAGCACTTCACTTGCGTCCTAGCCGTGACTAGTTGCCATGGTGATAGAGCATTACAATATGTGCCTGAGTCTATCACTCTTTCTCCGTGGTTCCTTTTTCCATCTTCATCCTTATTTTCTGACCCAGAGGACACATAAACACACACAGTGGATTGTGGCCACACACACACGCACACACACACACACACACAGTAACAAACATCAATCACCTTGTACACACTGATAAGACAACAACTTGGATATGGTTTCTGATATCCAACTACAGTACATGATGATATAAAACATTTTAATAAGCGGTTTTCTGATACAAACGCACCTCCACTTGCATCCAAACCTGCACAAATTCTTGACCTTCAAACCTCTGTCACACCCTCATCTGGTCTTATTGGGGGCAAAGGGCTATGAATTCATTCTCAGTGAAGAGAGTACAATTAGACACACGCCACTCAGAGCTCACCTCTATTTCTAAGACACTTCATTTGGAAAAAAAAAACTAGCACACCAGCTGCAAACATATGGTCTGTGTTTTAATCTGCTAAGATACACTTCTGGGCTGATGCAGCAACATAACTTGATGCAGTATACAAGTAGTGTATAAAAGAGGACAGAATAAGTCTAGAAAAAAAAAAACTAAGTCTGAATGTTATCACCAGTAATGATTTGCTGATGTACAAGAGAAGCAAGAGCTCAGTCTCTCATACTAATGGACTGAAGAGAATCAGTTCTCCTCGAATGCCATACCATTACCTCTTCACTGTCTTCAATACATTGTCACGAAACAGTAAAAATAGCTCTCGATGGGAGCAATTTGTATAGCCAAATAATTGTCAGATTGTCAGAGGATAAAAATTCAGGTTTTTATAGGAGATGACAGTCGGCAGCGACAATCCGAAGAAAAGAAAAGAACAAATTTACAATCCTTGCCCTAAATCCTTCCATCTTGGCCAAAAATATAGTAACAAGCAGAAATACCCAGACAGAGGATTTCTGGGAAACATCAAGGCCACAAATGAACAGAGCACTTTTAGAGAAAGCAGTGATTAGAGCAGAAAGGCTAAAGTCAGATGAGAAAAGAACAGATCAAAACCATTTCCACGCATCTTCTTTCTTTCCAACACCATTTCCCAAACTGTGCCACCTACAGTACAAGGTCTGGGAGTCAGCCTCACCGGCATTATGACTATAAAGAACTCTATTCCTTATTCTCTGGGCTCAGGCATAATTCTGACAGAAGAAGAAAGGCTCAGGTTTCACAGTCTGCTGTGACCATCTTTCTCCTCTGTGGATTTTTTAGCAGCCCAAGCCTTTGATAACACAACTTTCAGACTGGACTCTGAAGACTAACACTCGTAAAAGCACAACAGAAGCTTAGCAGAGTACCACAGAGGAGGAGAGGTCATACTCAGAGGGGTCGCTGTCTCTTTCAGGTCTCTGTTCTAGGCCCACAGGGGGAGGACTCTGCTCGCTTTTATGCAAGCAGCTCAAGAGATAAGAACTTGAAACTGAATTTAATCCTGCCTCTTTGAAATGTGTCTACTCTTCAAAAAGCTTCTATACATGTATTTAAATATTATAGATTAAATCACCATCTGTGCGGTGTTTGACAACAACGTCACAAATTGCACTGCAGACTGTATATGGGGGATGTACTTACTATAGCTGAAACTATTCAGCAAGTTTAAAATCAATCAAGGAAATTTCAGTCATTTATTCAAGCAGAAATACTCAACATGTTTTGGTTCCAGCTTCTTAAAGAGGAAGATCTGCTGCTTTACACTGTAAAATTAAATATGCATCTACATTTAACCACAAAGAATGAAATTCTTTACCGTTAGTAAATCTTGTTTTGTCCTGGTTTGTGTACCACTTCACACCAGAGTTGTGTTAGTGGCGGAGCATAAAGACAGGTTTGTGTTTGAGGTCAACAGCTTCTCAGAATATGAACCAGAGACCTGCTGCCAGTGAGGCTGCTTACACCACCGCCTGCACCATCCACAGCTTCCATGCCAGCACAGACATGAAATGAGATTTTACACAATAGATCAGGGTCGTGAATGAGAGCCGCTTGTCAAGCCCATCACCTTGAGCATTTTTTTTTTTTTGTCATAAGAGACTGAGATAGTTTTAAAGGCACAGCTAGGGTGCAGGCAGGCTTGCGAAGTGTAATGAAAAAGTTTATCCATCCTTCAGTAGTTTAGGCCTTATTATCAATCTCTTATGCATTATGAATGTTTTGTACTTACTTCTGTATCCATTTTCCTAAACTGCTACGACGTCCATCAGTTAAAAAGAACCAGATAATCAGACCTAGTCACTGTCAACAACACACACACACACGTGAACACTTCTGTTGTCCAAAATGCAGTGTAAATGTAAATGTACTGAAAATACAAAAATAAAAAATAAAAAACTTGGGTGAAAAAAACAGCAGGAACCCTCCTGCGTGTCACTGCAGAGACATAATTAACTAATACCTTCAGCTTGCTTTTCCTCAAAGACTTGGGCATCACAATCAACTGTAGTAACAAAACAAGCTGTTTCCAGAGGTTAATGGAATCACCCTATGCAAGCAAACAGCATGTTGGACTGATAATTGGTGGGATACGTGTAGGCGCCTTCATTCAGGATGCCAGGTTCTGGACGATAAAAGACATTTCACAAACTATGTTCAACAATGGCACCTATGTAGAGAAGTGTGTTAGCGTGTTTCAGAGATTTTCCCCCTTCAATAAGAAGCTCCTGGGTGTGTGTCCCAAACACTGACAGAGAGATGTTTTATGTGGCAGTTACTCTTGAAAAAAGGCCGAGGAATACACTTATCTCTCCTGCTACACAATACTAACAGCATAACAAAACAAGCAGGGCATGAAGAAAAACAGACAGAGGAAGACAAAGTATACAGAGAAGCCAAATGAATGATGGCTTTCAAACAGTAATAACAA